AAAGAGCGAGAAAGAGAGAGCGAGAAAGAGAGAGACAGACAGACAGACAAACAGACAGACAGACAGAGACAGACAGACAGACAGACAGAGACAGAGACAGAGAGACAGAGAAAGAGAGACAGAGAAAGAGAGACAGAGAAAGAGAGACAGAGAAAGAGATACTGAGATAGAGACAGATAGGAGGGAGAAGGGATTGGAGAAGAGGGGGGAGGGTCAAAATGATATATTGATATCAATAAAGAAGAAAAGAGTTCATGAAAAGAGAAGAATGAAAGGAGCGGGAAAAGGAGAGGCATAAAGTATGCATAATTATATTCTATGTCAATCAAAATTCATATATTCATCAATAAAATATACCTAGCTTTTTTTGTGTATGACTTAAAAACAATACCAACAAAGCCAGCAAAACCCAGAGAAAATGCTACTTACCTCCTCCATGAAGTCTGGTGTCTGGGCGTGGTGTAGCACTGTGGTGCTGGCGACACTAGTGAACGGTGACAGTCCAGGCTTGCTGTAGATTCTCTGCAGAACAAAGAAGTGAAATTGATATACAAAGGAAATAACATTGGCCCTGTTGATTCTCTGCAGAACAAAAAATTGAAATTGATAAACAAAATAAATAACATTGGCAAGCTGTTTAACTGAAGAAAGCAAGATTTTCCAAGACAGAAAAAAAAACTGCTCCATTCTTTACAAAAATTGTACCTAAATTATACATCTTTTCTCGCTTTTTTTGCAATATTGAGAATTTGAATTTCAACAAAATACTTTTTGAGCACAGGCAAACCAATATCACAGATGGTAAAACTGCCATTACAAAAGATAGCGTGATTTGCTACGCAGAAGTGAGGAGAACATAACAAGAATTACAGAGTCCAGCTCTTTAACATAAACACATTGATCTTCTTATGGATTGCATATTAACACCTCATCTACTTTTACACTTCAAAGAAGCTGAGATCTGCATAAATTAACAAAATTCCCTTTTACTTTTTTTTCTCTCTTTTTTTTATATCTGGTACAATCAGAAGGTAAGACATTTAGATTTTAAGCCAAATGCATGAGCAGACAGTGACTCGAGCAAATATGAGAGACAATGAATATGTCTTTAGTTTTTTATATAGTATACAGTCAGCAAATAAGACTGATTTTCACTCAAATATCATAAGTCAACAAGTAGAGCAAAAATAAATAATAATAATAAGAGCATTTGTATCCCGCCTTTCCCCTCAAAATGGGCCCAAGGTGTACATAGGACATTAAAAACGCATTCATACTAACACCATACAAATTCATCATGAGCGCACATTTTGACAGCAACATTCTTTCAGACAATAAAAAATGCTCATACAAAAAGGCAAGGCACTGTCCATTATTTAAAATATTTCTTAAATCAGTGTGTTTTGAGTCCCCTTTTGAAGGTATCAAGTTTTATTTCGGTCCTCAAATCATGACGGAGAGTGTTCCAAACTGTTGGTCCAGAAAAAGAAAAAGCTCTCTCACCATATTTCCTCAGTGACACACGAGGCGTTTAAATTAGTCTAGAACCACAGGATCTTAGTTCATGTGATGGTGTGTATGGTACAATGATTTCTTGAATATATGTGAGAGACTGGTTAGTTTGACCTTTGAAGCATAGTAGGGCTAACTTATATTCGATTCTCGCTTTCAGTGGAAGCCAATGGAGCTCTTTAAGGAGGGGAGTAACATGATGGCCTTTTGATTGCTTTAATACTAGCCTGGCAGCACTGTTTTAAATGTGTTGGAGTTTTTAAATTTTTTCTTCAGGTAGGCCAGCGAATAGTGAATTGCAATAATCAATGCGTGACAACAAAAAAAAAGGAACTAAGAACATGTCTTCTAAACTGCGGTTGAGCAAAACTTACCTTGAGGGGCATGGCTCCTTCCTCGTCAGAGTCTCGCAACTCAATACAGCATGCAATGTTCCTGGCCTGAGAACATACAAGTGAATTAAACTCTAGATGAATAAGAAGAGAGAGAATAAAATACAATTCAACTTTCATAGATCCCTCTGACAAAGTTTTGATTTAAAATGGGATGCACACATGTGCGCCCACACACACATGCAAGCACGCACGCATGCTTGTACGCACACCCACTGACAAACGTGCACGCACACACATACAATAATATATCAATTTTACGTTACACTCATTACATCAATACAGACAGTCAAAACGTCATTACTGTTCGCCAATGTGCAGCACTTTGCTTCCAATCTAGGGCCAGCATATCTTGCTCAAGTACAAACCCCATTGAAAACCAACCTAAAATGTCATGCCATTGACATATGGTTGACATTGTGTGCAAGCCTAGGCTCACAAACCACTGAGCCACAAGAGCCCCTGCTACATTCATGATGTCTAGAAACAAATTTGTCAAACTTGAGACGCACACATAAAATCTCTGCAGTCCAGGAGAGCATCAGGAAAAAATGTTTAATTTGCAGTTTCAGTAGGACTTTAAATTAACCAAATATAGGCACAAGTCACTGTGTTATTGTCTTTTTAATTGTTTGAGAAAAGAATAGCACATTGTCAAAACAAAAGTCATTTAATGTTAAGAAAAAGCAAGAATAACCGAGAGATCAAACAGAGGGAAAAGTAAGGAAGTAGGACCTACCTGTGACATCCTCCAACCACCTGATGTCTGCTCCAAAACAAAAGCAGAGCTTTTAAGTTTGCATGTAAAGAGTACAGTAGAATGAAGGCAGTAGGCTGACAAAGAGAATACGAGGACAATTGAATTTTTCCCCCCGTTGTCATATTGAAGACTGTTGTTCTATCCCTGTACAGCCATTCTAAATGTGTCACCAGGGTACAACTTCCAGCCATTTTTAAAATACAAATTACTTTTACCAAGAAAAATGAAACAAGTCAAACAGTGGTTCAAGACCGAAAACAACAAAAATGGAAAATAATGACCACTGACCTCTTTCTCTTGTTGCCTTATGATAAAAGACTTTGAGAAAAGGAAAATGACAGGAGTACTTTTGCAGCAAGGTTCAAAGTTTAAAAATAGACATGCGCTCACCTTGGCAAACGCTTTCTGACTGTCATACTTCAGGGACACCGGCCTCACGTAAAGGTTGTTCTTGTAACTGTCGAAGCAGCTGCTCAGGGAGGCCACGTCTGGGACAAACTCCTCCACCTCAACAACCGGAACGCTGCCGGCCGCTGGCTCCGAAAACGGTTTGACGGGCACCAGAGATGACGTCAATGTGTCTGCAATATTTTAAATCGGTGCTTACCAAACTGGGTGATATCTCCCACTAATTAGTGATGTGGTAGTTTTGGAGAGCAGTGGGTATCACCCCAGTATTGCTGTAAACTGGCAAAAAAAATTTATTTGATGAATCGAAAGCCTGATCAGATGCCCTACTTGTGTAAAAAAAAATCAAATTTAAACTGTAACGAGTTTTTTAAAATAAATTAGAATTAAAATTTCGGAATGACTCTATTTTTAAATGATAACGCAGACAAAAAAAACCTCTTTTTCTCGAAACTGCTCTGAAGAAAAAAAGGCGAGACAAGTATTATTTAATGCCCCACATGGGTGGGTAATACTAAAGTTTTAGCCTCTTAAATGTGGTAAAAGTGGGCGCGGGCTATATAAAAGTTGACAAACACAGTGTTAAACATAATAGAATCCTGCAACATACCCATATGCGGCAGTCTAGATTAGCACTGGTGACCTGTCACGTACATAAAACCCGCCAACATTACAATACTCTAGTCCAAAAATATTTCAAATAAGAGTGCTTGCTGACATATTTTTGTAGAGACTTCTTTGAGTTAAAGTGAGATTTTATTGTCTTGTTCATACAACTTCCATCCTTCTGCCTGTTGGCTTGTTCCATTTTACAGTCTATTAGTGAAAGTGCTCACAGACTATAAACCACTCTTTTGGTTCACTCTTTTTTATTCTTTCTATTTTTTTTCTTTTCTTCTACTACCTAGGGGTCACTTTTTTTCCTTTTCCTTTTTTTCCCCCTTAAATATTTTCTTTTTTAAATCTAAGAGTCTTCAATCATTCAAGACTAACACTTTTTCCTCCCTTTACTTTACTTTCTTTTTTTTATTCATTTATCATTAAGCATTCATGACCCATTCTCTCTTTTATAAACAATTCATTTGGTTTTTTTCAACCAAGCATCATTAATCATTCACGACCCACTCTTTTTGTATCCATTCTTTTTTATCTTGTTTTTCTTATTTTTTTCATAACTAAGTATCTACAATAATTCATGACTCACTCTTTATGGGCTCACTGTCAGCACTTATTAGGTCAAAGGAGATCTTCAGAGAGCCAGGGATGACCTGTAGCTTGGAGCCCTTGTCTGGCCTGTGGAGGTCACACAACGCTCAGATAGAGACACATACTAGAGGACACGAAGAGACACATACTAGAGGACAAGAGGAGACGCATAGAAGAGACACATACTAGAAGACAAGAGGAGACACATAGAAGAGGCACATACTAGAGGACAAGAGGAGACACATAGAAGAGGCACATACCAGAGGACAAGAGGAGACACATACTAGAGAACAAGAGGAGACACATACTAGAGGACAAGAGGAGACACATACTAGAGGACAAGAGGAGACACATAGAAGAGGCACATGCCAGAGAACAAGAGGAGACACATACTAGAGAACAAGAGGAGACACATACTAGAGGACAAGAGGAGACACATACTAGAGGACAAGAGGAGACACATACTAGAGAACAAAAGGAGACACATACTAGAGGACAAGAAGAGACACATACTAGAGGACAAAAGGAGACACATACTAGAGAAATAGAGGAGACACATACTAGAGGACAAGAGACACATACTAGAGGACAAGAGACACATACTAGAGGACAAGAAGAGACATATACTAGAGGACAAAAAAGACACATACTAGAGTGATAGAGGAGACATATACTAGAGGACAAGAAGAGATACATACTACAGGACAAGAGGAGACATATACTAGAGGACAAGAAAAGACACATACTAGAGTGATAGAGGAGATATATACTCTCTAGAGGACAAGAAGAGAGAGAGAGGGAGAGGAGGAGGGAGGTTCACAGGACAGACAATAGATATATCCTGGGGTCGTTGATGCAGACAGAATAACAGTACATGCAGTCGATCCTGCTCTACAGACCACTTGATCCTGCTCTAACGACCACCGGTTCAAGACAATCACATGTACAAACCACCAACTCCCATTCCCCCTTTGTGGGTTTTTCTATACTATAAGAGAACCACCTAAGATGACCACATTTTTCCTTGAAAATGGGTAGGTTGTCTTGGACAGGTTCAACCGTATTTTAGAAGTGTGGGCTTTAATCATCCCAATTTTGTTTGTATCGAAAGCTCAACATTTAACTTGATAAAACCTACACAAATAAATTTCACAATACCAATAACACAAAGAAGAGATGGAGGAGGAGGGGGATGTGGAGGAAGAGGAAGAAAAGGAGACGGAGGAAGAGACAGAGGACAAGGAGGAGAAGGAGAAGGAGGAGGAGTAAAACATGGACGGGTAAAACATATACTATCATATCACAGCGGTATTTGGTACAGAATGACACACTTACTTTCTAAAATCTTGCAATACTTTGACCATTTCCTCTTCAGAGAACTTGGAACCCTCCTGTTTGTAGATTGGCAGATCCAGAGTCCCATAAGATGTGCTGGGCAGTGGCCTGATAAAATAGACACATTTTGAGGAGGAGGAAGAGGCGGGGGAGGAGGAGAATAGATAGACTCCAATAAGTTGTGTTAGTCACGGGAAAAAGTAAACAAAAATTATGTGGAACAGAAAGAGGACAGAGACAGAGTCCAATAAGTTGTGTTGAACAGGTAATTAATGGGAATAGACACCAATTTAATGAAATGGGGGGGGGGAGGGGGAGGAGGGCGGAAAGGAGTAAGGGTAAGAGGGGTAAGATGAGGAGGTGACAGATCATTCACCATCCAATACGTTGTGCTAAACAGCCACTTGAAAAAAATAGAGAGAACTTTAGTGCCTCATGACTACTTCCGAAACAGGGTACACAACCACTTCAGGTAATGCACATCAAGACCATGACATCAGTGCAACAAGACCAACAGGTCTTTAGAAAAACTACTGTCAAACAAAAACTAAACTTTGTGAAAATAGTGACCGACTAAATAAACAAAAATCTTGGAAGTTGAAACAATGAGAGAGAGAGAGAGAGAGAGAGAGAGAGAGAGAGAGAGAGAGAGAGAGAGAGAGAGAGAGAGAGAGAGAGAGAGAGAGAGAGAGAGGGAGAGAGAGGGGGAGAGGGAGAGGGAGAGGGAGAGGGAGGGGGAGAGGGAGAGGGAGAGGGAGAGGGAGAGGGAGAGAGAGAGAGAGGGAGAGAGGGAGAGAGAGAGAGAGAGAGAGAGAGAGAGAGAGAGAGAGAGAGAGAGAGAGATGTTCATGTAGGTGTTTAAGCCCCCATTGACACAATTTACATAATATAGGAGGCAGACTTCGACCCTGCCTATCAGAGAAAGAGAAAAAGAAAAAAAGTAAAACATGCTGACCATACAAAATTTGGGACAGATAAAAATGTGGCAATTCATTTTATTTATTCCATTTTTATCTTATGCACCTGCCCAAGCAATCTATCAGAGTTCAAGGCAGCCCATGTCACAACATTACTTACCTGGCAGACCAGGCAAAAGGCATGCGGTAGTGGCCAATGTGACTGCAAAACTGTTTCATCTGCCGGTGAACCTTCAGCGCCATCTTGGAATCACCTCCCTTGACGTACGGTTCCACACACTGAGTGATACCTCCTTGAAGGACTTTTTCAATGCGAGCGACTAGATACACATCTTGGAGAGGTCGAGCGATGGAAAATATCCCCTGGTAATACAAGCCATGATATATCAACTATCAATCGTCTTTTTCTTTGTAAGAGAAATCTAAAAACATTTATACAACCCTGTCCTTTGCTAGTAGTTTTTGTGTATGTGTGTCTGGTGTGTGTGTGTGTGTGTGTGTGTGTGTGTGTGTGTGTGTGTGTGTGTGTGTGTGTGTGTGTGTGTGTGTGTGTGTGTGTGTGTGTGTGTGTGTGTGTGTGTGTGCGCGTGTGTGTGTGTGTGCGTGTAAGTGTACTTGTGTGTGCATCTGTGTGTACATGTGTCTCTTGTTAAATGGTCTCACATTTACTGTCTTTTGATTTTCCAGTTGTCAGATTATGAGTATATATTATATATTTGAAAAATTGTTGTACGTTGAAAGGGCCAATATGCATGAAACATTGATTTAAAATTTAAACTTATAGTGAAGCGTCTAGAACCACCAGGGAATGGGCGCTATAGAAGTGATCATTATTATTATCATTATTTTATTTTATTTTATCTAATTTTAATTTTTAAAATTACTTTTAAGATTATTTATTATTTTTATCATATTCTTCTTTTTCTTCTTCTTCTTCTCCTTCTTCTTCTCCTTCTTCTTCTTCTTCTCCTTCTTCTTCTTCTTCTTATTGTTGCTGTTTTTATTAAGTCTGAGATTTGAAAAAGGGTAGATTTCAAACAAAACAAAAGGGTCATGTGTGTCAACTTCTTAGCGCACCTGTCTGGCAGACTGCGACAGCCACCCCTCACTCAGGTTGGCCAGGTCCGGCATGGAGTTCTCCTGACCGCTCACACTGTGCAGTCTGTCCGAGGCAGAGAGGAGGTCCGCCGGAATCATAGACCTCACTTCGGGGTCGTTGGGATCCATGCTGAAATCCTCCGAGATTTTCTTCCCTTCCCTTGCATCGTAGATGGCAAAAGTCAGGAAGAACGGCTCTGGCTGTTTTGAGGGAAAGAAAAAGTTTGTGAAAGAAAATGAAATTGTTACAGATTTAATAAAGTCGAAGGTGTCTAGGACGGCCATCTTTTGTCAAGGAAAAAAGTGGCTGGCTTAGACTGTTGGACATCTCGAATAGTGTCATTATGATGTAAAAAATAGCAAAGGGGGAAATGGGAATTGGCCGTATGTACAGGTGACTGTCTTACACATATGACTATTAGAGCAGGTTCAACTGTATTTTCCTAATGCTCCCTGAGCTTAGAGATGACAGAATCAGAGACCAAGGTAAACACCCACACACAAAGACCTTGTACCACATCTCAGCACCCAGGAGGTCATACGCAAGAAAATAACTTACCCCACATGGGAATTGAATTCATGCCGCACCATAGCTCAGCAAACAGAAGGTCATATGCAAGAAAAAAACTTCCCCCCACATGGGAATTGAACCCATGTCATGTGGCTTTGCAGCAAATGGAAAGTCATACGCAATAAAATAACTTCCCCCACATGGGAATCAAATTCAAGTCTTCTGCATGTATTGAAAAAGAACATAATCACCACTCCATATACATAGGTCCTTTACTTAACAATCAGAGGCAGCAAAATATGTGTCAGCACTTACGTTGCATTTCTTGTTTTCTTTGCCTTCGTCAGCCAGATTGAACTGAAGGCCAAAGCGTAGCTCCTTCAACTGAAGCAAGAAACGTTGTGCATATGGCCGTGGGAACACCTCAATCTCAGGCTCCTCTTCCTCCTCTGCATCCTCATCAAACGCAGATCTCTGTAACAGTTAATGATTGATAGCAATAAGATTTTTACAGTGAAGGTCATGGTACCATAGTTACGCTATCAAAATTGTGGAATTTTGATTCTTGAGGTAGTGTTGAGTAGAAAACAGTTATGTTATCAAAAGTGTAGAATTGATGATTCTTGATTGTAGAGGGAAAATATTTGCACTATCAAAAATATAGAACATATGATTCTTAAGATTCAGATTAAAAATAGTTACATTATCAAAAGTATACAATTGATGATTCTTGAGATGCAGAGTAAAAATAGCAAAGCCACTTATAGCATACAATAAAATATATCTTTAAAGAAATTCAAGATGAAAAAGAAGATGAGATCAACATTTAAATTCTAATTTACAAGTCATGAAACTCCCCTGTGTTGTGTGTGTGTGTGTGTGTGTGTGTGTGTGTGTGTGTGTGCGTGTGTATGTATGTGTGTCTGTTTGTATGTGTGTGTGAGTGTTTGCATGTGTGTGTCAGTGTGTAGTTTTGGGGGAGGGCCTGCAGGCATATTATGGGCTGTCACTTAATCAGTTTTAACATGCTCTAAACGCCAGAACACTGAAAAATGCAAACCTTATATGATCTCCAACAAGTGACCTTCTCCAACCTTTAAATGCTGCATAAGAACACATTGTATTTCTTATGATACTGTATAATATGTGTTTATACCTTTTAATCTAATTCCTCCGCGATACCAAAAAGGGTATCAGTGGTGGATAAAAGTAAAGTAAATTAAATCTAATTCCTGAAAGCATAGGACATGTCATTGTGCACAAATTTCTCCAAGAAAATCAATGGAAGTGATGATTTTCTTCTTTTTTTAAACATTTTTTTCTTTTGTTTTTGTAACATAACTGTGTGGTGTCTTTTCAGACATGTACAACATAAAGACTTATCCCAAAATTACACTGCCACTTGTGTTCATTGGGTTGAGTCAGGGGCCAGCTCGATTTTCCTTCATGAATGGCAAAAGCTACCACTTTGGCACAACACAACCAGATGTAAGTAAGTTCAGTTGTGACCCTCGAAACCAAATGTGTTTGCGTTTGAAGGTTACTAGTCAATTCAATCATATAACGCAAAAAATTGGTAGCTTTTGGCCCCATCCATGAAAGAAAATCTGGCTGGCCCAACTAAATCCGATCGCAGTGTGCACTGGGTATGTCTGACAGGACTTGGACTCACTCTCATATCTGGGTATATTGAGAACAAATTCTGTCTTGCTTCCTGCCTGGCCTTGGCTAGAGAGGAATCGGTTTCCCTGCAGTACTGGAAGAAAAAAAAAACACAATAATAAACCAGTTAGCATCACTGTTCACTCATTTTAATCAAAATATCCCTAAAATCCATGTATTATTTGCTGCAATTCACAAATTTTCATCAATATATCCCTAAAAGCCATGTAATAATTGACTACAATACACAGATTTTCATCATATCCTTCAACGGCATTTGATTATTCAGGTGAATGATATTGAAATGTCAGGAGAGCACATGAAGGTACTATCAAGCCACTTCTCAGATGTCACAGCTTGACCTCTACAAACATACTTCACAAACTTCATTCATTTAAGGGGGGGAAACAATCTGGCCTAAAAACCTTCATTACTCTCAAGTTTCCACAAAAAATCAGACCCATCAAATTTCTTGGGGGAAAAATTTGTTTCGACATGTCAGTCATTTGAGCGAAGACTATCATCACAAACAAACAAAAGCCATCAAATTGTCATGAGACTGCAGAGATTTTTTAACTTTATGTTAGGATATTTACAACATCATGTTTTTGTTTTTTTGACAAGTCTCAAGTAAACCTTCTGATATAAGAACATTTCAATTATATTTTTCAGATGAGTCTACTTCATTCTGTTTAAGCATTTTTTTTAATGTATATCTGAAAATACCAAAACAAAGGAAACACAACGAAGTGAAGGAATTCGCCTGGCGGGTGAAGAAGCAAACACAACACAATTCCTCTTTCATGCAGTGAAAGAGATTTTTTTCTCTCTCTACCCTGACCTTATCAGGGCATCTACAACGGCAGCTGTGAAAACATCTTTGTTTTAAATCTCACAAACAAAACATGATTAGTGAAGCAACAATTCATGAGTTCCAACACTTCTCCGGCATCAAGTGGCCGTATCCTTAGATTTCTTTTCAGTCTCAAAAGAAGCAGCAAAGAACAGTTTCCATCAAAGGCTAAGTAGCTTGTGTGCTTAGGAGTTAAGAAGAAAAGAAATATCTGAAGCATTTAGACGAAAGAGATTATCTGGTAACATTTTTTTTTTTAAACAGTTCTATTCCCAGAGAGAACGAGAGAAAAAACTGTTATATTCTTTTGTTTAAATTGTACCCAAATGTGTATCTTTTCTTGCTTTTTTTTTTTCAACATTTAGAATTTAAATTTCAAAAAAATATTTTTTCAAACACATACAACCAATACTACAGATGAAGAAACTGCAAATTTTCAACATCTCTGAACTAGTACATCAGAATCAGCTGGCGGACAAAAATCTTCCTATTCAAAGTACAGTCAGCTAATGTTTTATGCCTCCATTGACACAATCTTAAATCATTTAGGAGATGGGCTGCTTCAACCAGGACTATCAGGGTCAATCCAGGCTGAACAGGATGCAGTATTTGAGTAGACAAATGAAGACAGTCAGGAAAATAATGTTCCAACATGGGAATCAAACTCACATCTTCTGCGTGCAATAGCAAAATGCCCTAATCATTACACCACAGACACCAATACCTGCAGGTACTCTCAGGCAGAAGTTCAGTTTTAATAAGAGTCTAATGGCACCTGTACACAAACAGGCCATATAAGGGCCGCAAATAAGAGGTGCTACTTCTAGACAGTAACATACATAGAAAAGTAGGAAAGATAAGGAAAGCAAATGTTTGACAGAAAAAAAGGAGCAAGCCCCATTAGAACACCCGTCAACCACCCACAGCAGCACTAGAATTACACCTTGGTTCAAACTAACTCAAAGAACGCAAGTGGGAGAAGTGTTGAACACAAGGACAAAAAAAAACATAAAAGGGAAAACATAGCAAGAGTCCACAGTCCTTTTCCAGCCTTTGTACATACCAAAAGTTTCAAAACATGAAAACACACACACAAAAATAAAGGAAAGCATCAGTAGAGCTTGGTAGCACAGACAAAACACTTTCATCATCATCCTTTAACAACAGCAAAAGCCAGACCACCTAATCTAACCAGGAACTTGGAAATTCTAATATCAAACACAATCACAATTCCTTAGTCAAAAAGACATTGGTTTCACAATCACTTATTAGTGTCAGAAACCCTCAATCAGTCAACATGAAATTACACAAACTTTGACATACATAAGTTACATAGCAATACGACTTAAACGAAAATCCACCTTCTGTGTTAGCTGAAAAAGTATAAGACTCACTTTATTTACAACATTACTAATAGGATGCTGTCAGTATTAGTCACTGTCATGCCCATACCAAAAGTTTTCCTATTTACAAAGACAGAAGGCAGTTGTCTTTCCACCGGGTGAAGGCGCACAATAATAAGAGCATCTAATAAACTAATAGTAATAGTAATAATTTGTCTAAAATGAACTGATGATGGCCTTTGACATCCAAAGAGGAAGAGAAGTTATAGACCTTGCTCGCTGCAAAGAGAGTAAAGTAAGGGCAATAATGTATAATATAATAAATAGTATAGGTTTTAAGCCCCTATTAACACTAATAGGTTATTCAAGAGGCAGGACCTCCGAGTTTAACGTCTATTTCTGAAAGGGCCGAGCCAAATACGAAATTGTTGTAAAGTGCCTTTCCCAAGGACACAACATCAGCTCGAGCTACAGCTCCGCTCGAACCCCCAAACCCGCAATCTCACTATTATGGGTCCGGTAGCCTAATCCCTAGACTACTGACGCAACCCAATAACAGCTGACAACTTGTAATAATCACAAACACCACAACTCCCAACAAACAACAGCATTTTTCCCTTTTCTGAAATGGGATGCACATCTGCATAAACATATGGTTAGTTGGTTAAAACTTCTTATGGCTTCACTCATGATCTTCAAACACAATTCTTTTTTAGAAGAATTTTCCACTAACAGAGGACTTGCGGTCACACATCAATATGACAATTTAACAAAACAGAATGTGTCCTTTTATTCCTCAACAAGCACATACACACTAAAAGCAACATCAGTTTACCCCTTATCCCCTCATCTAGAAATCATAAACAAAAGAAATGGAAAAAAAGGAATACATATTTTCCTACAAAAACAAAAACCAGAAAACAACAGAAAGTTTAATGATCAGCTAACAGATGGAAGTGCCTCCACCACACTCTAAAAACCCTGCAAGTTATCAAATGTTCAATCTAATTTTTTAAAAACAAAACAATTTCAAATAGTGAAAAGAAGTTTGTACTAAGAAGCAGTGAGGCGGCTCTGTACATTACTAACCAGCATAAGTTTCGCTGACTGAAAAAAAAAACCAAAATGTCCAGTGATGTAGCTCATCCATTCAGCAATCTGTGACACATAATTAAAACGAGCGAAAAAACTGGACAACTTTGTTTTACGACAAGTTTTGATACAAGCTCGGCATAAAACTAAAAGGATTTAGGAATGAAATTCCACATTGATAACTAAATCATAACAAATTAAATGTAGTGATCAACCGGTTAGAAACTTGTGAATCAATTCATTAGCAAAAATTGGTTAATGGCAGTTCTACATGATGAGTGAGACTTTCCAAGGTGTCTAAAAAAAAAATAAGACCCATTTAGAGGGCAATAACTCCGTCACATTTGCACCAACTTCAATACCACTTCAAACAAATAAAATTCAACCAAGGGGACATCAAATTAGGCAATAGTATGAAAATTAATCAGGAAAAGATGGGGTTTTGCAATTGAGGAGGCCTGGTTCCAGTAGGGTGGGGCCACATCTTACACATCAAGAGTTGCATGGTTTCAAGAAAGTTTTGGGGAGGGTCCCATATGCTGAAAGCTTACAAATGAATAATCACAGCATTCCCCCAACTTGATCCCATCAATCATTTCCAATGAGGGTTTTTTCCACAAGCAATTGTAACGTTAACACTCAATGTTAAACAAAAGTTCCAAACTCTGCATTCAAGCTTAACTGGAGGGTAATGATCCCCATCTGAAGCATAGAAGCTAAATAATTACCACCTTCCCTGGGTTTATTTGGTAGTTTCAAGTTCATATACATTTTTACTGTAATGCACAGACACATTATGATTGATTTTTAATTTCACAAAATTTTAGTTGAAATTTTTTTTTAATGTATATAACTTGAACATGTAGACTGACTTTCTTTGCACCGGCAAGTTTGACATTCCCTTGGTTGAATATTATTTGTTCTACATTTTGTTGAAATAGGTCCAAAGATGAGCGAATCATTTCTCTTTAAATGGATCCTCTTTTTTTGTTTTTTGACCCCCGGCAATTTTGTCAGGTTGTTTTAAGTTTCTCATTCGCTGTGAAACACACTGAGGACATGAGGCAGGCTTCGAAAACATGTCACTGGGCATGCTGGTCAGAGAGACGAACAATGTACCCCTTTCTTTCTTCTCCGTATCACTTTCGGTACCCCGCTGGGCTCCACAAACTGGTGATCTTTGTGGCTACCATTGACCACACCGATCGATGCTTTGTCATCAGAAACTGAGGGAGGGGCTACCGAGGAGGTCACCTCTGTGTCATTTGAGGATGAGGAAGAGGGAGGGGGAGTGGGGGTGTCTGGGGGCAGGACCACCACTGTTGGTGGGGGTGGGGGTGAGGAAGATTGCGGCAGAGAAAGAGGAGGGGGTGGGGGAGGTGGGGCTCGGCGGTGTGGGGGTGGGGGAGGGGGAGGAGGAGGTGGAGGGACCTGGATCGACACAACGCCTACACCAGAATCTACGTCATCGTCGCTGGGCTCAGCACAGAGCTCCTGTAGATAGGCAGGGGTCACACATGACATCAAAGACACACTTGGCTAAACATTCACGTACCACAGCACTGGACATCAAAGCCCTACCTCAAACTTGACGGAAAAAAAAATCATAAATACATACACCCTCGTCACTGGATCAATAAGTAATCAGAAATCAAAGCATCAGAAATAGATACAACATACATCACCAAAAAAAACAACAACAGAAAAACATAAATAAATACAAACTACATCATTGCATCAATTTTAAAAAACCCATTAAAATTACAGCTGATCCAGTTCAAACCGGAAAAATGTGGTCATGTTAGACACGCAGTCCCCTTGGACAGTGTCATTATGATAGAGCAAATGCACAAGGAGGGAAGTGAGAAGTGGTCGTTTGCACAGGTGAATATCTTGAGCAGGTGGCAGTAAAGAGCGTACATGTATATTACATGTATATATATATAAAATTTATCACTGGATAGAAACCAAAAATCTTTCAACTATATGTAAAAAAGGGCTATCCACAAGGGGTTGGAGGGGTTGGAGGGGTTGGGAAAAAATTTTGTTTATATACCCCATCCTTTTTCACTCCCTGACCATTCAGTCGGAGAAGAAAAAGTACTTCAGACTGTACTCAGCCATTATATTAAAAATGCCAGTGACAATGCCAATCCATGACACATCATCGATATCAACAATGGAAAAACAGCCCATTATTATTAAAATTAATTACTTGATCAGAAAGGCATCAAGAACTATTGGTAGAGACCTAAATAACTTTGAGTTTCTGTACAAGACAAATATTCTATCTAAAAATAGTTGGAAATAATGCTAAGTGACTATTGCGACCCACTGACATTGGAATTTCAATCTCTGACCCACAGTAAACTTGTGATTTACAAGAAAGCATGAACAGATAGAAATAGAAATTCATTCGTAACAGTGTTGCTGAACATACAGTGCAACAAATGAATGAGACAGAGAGAGAGATAGAGAGAGAGATAGAGAGAGAGAGAGAGAGAGAGATAGAGAGAGAAAGAGAGAGAGAGAGAGAGAAAGAGAGAGAGGGGGAGAGAGAGAGTGTGTGTTTACGGGGCGGAGGTGCTTCAGCATGTAATATTTATGTCCTTCCTTGTTGTGTGTATGCGTGAGTGATCATGAACTTTGTAACACCACTGCCAATGATAATGACAAAGACAAATTTCTCCCTGCCAGATGAGTAAAGAATTTTAAAAACTTATTGTCATATCCAATGCACCGCTGTTCACGAGCGGTGCTTTAGTTCTACCGGCACCCCACAGCGCCCCAACGCTCAGCGTAACTCGAACCAGCCATTACCAACGGGTCGAGAGGTCAACGTGGGGAATTTCACCTGACTAACAGATTCGCGATGAAAATGTTAGTGCAGCAGTTTTCAGCTTTGTTTAAGCTGCGACTAAGCCCAAACAACACCAACTGTGCATCAAACTGTATACTTTGAAAAAGCATCATCTGACATATTTATTAGAGCAATCAAGCAACTAATTAAAATAAAGAAATACGAAATGACGGAGAAATAAAAGTGGATGCATGTTTAAACATTGATAGAGGGTCAAGATTTATTGCATTAAATTTGAACACAATAGTTTCGGTCGATTTTGACAATTCTAAGATATTGGGTCAGAAATTGAGTTAAGTTTCAAACTCACTTAGCTGCATCTGTGTGTCGTTGCCTAAGGCAAAGATATTAAGTCTTGAGTGGAGATTCACAACTTTTCGCAATATGTCCTCAGTTCCCCAAGTCCAGCTGTCACAAGTGACGACTCTTGATAAAAACGTATCGCTCTAGGATCGCGGGTATCACCAGTCAGGGTGTCAGCACTTAAAACTGCATTTAAGCCTACTGTCACAATATTGGTAAACACACTCTATAATTATTATTACATTTTAAAAAAAGATGCTAGATTTGAAACAAAACACACACAAAAATCTTGTGAACTTTTAACAAAGACGTCTATATCATTTTAAAGAAGAAAAAATTACAGAAAAACGACACAAAGTTGAAACTTGCAAAATTTGTACAGTGTACCTATCCCTACTAGATTTCAGAAAAAAGAATTGAAACTGACGGTGAATTTACGAAGTTATTGGCGTTTAAATTCAAATGACACTGAAAAAGCAATCCGATTCAATAAAAACACGTCTTGGAGAACGTAGTCTGATAAAATCAAGGTAGTGAACTGAGATCGACCAAAGTTATATCGTCTTGTAGGGGGAAAGCTGAGCTTTGAAATGGTGGATCAAATAGAGATATCACATCTTTAGATCTGGAGACATCGGAGTGGGAATGACACCACAATTTGGAAGAAATGCATTACGCGGGCAGGCGGGGGTGCGCCGCTGGCTTCACGGTAGTGAGCACGGCTGACCACTGATTTAATTACCAACACATGGGTGGCACTGACCGCTGGCACAGAGCAACTAAAGGAGTGGTTTCTAGGCGAGTTGAACAGCCATGAATGCCATGCCTTTGTCTATACGAAATCTGTTGCTAACATTCTATTGCCCCTGCAAAACTTTGCATATCAACTTTTGCATATCAACTGCTTATTGTAAGACTACACTATACACTATTTTGAAAAGTGATGTGTGCAGAGTCTAACACTGAGCAGTTGATAGACTAATTTAGTGAAGAATCTTATTCTTGTTAGGCACAGATCAGCAGGGAAAATGGAGGCCTGTTGTGGCAAGGAGTATATGGCCATGGTGACAGGCGACTCGTGAGACACAATTACCACAGGAAATCCCTTTGGTGTTGAAAGAGTTAAGACAAAAAGAGCCTAAGCTGATGTGCAAATTTACAAGTTAAGCCAATACCACTCAGTGATCACAGTGAGTAAATATTCTAATCTCTTTTCAACCCAGAGCCAAAAACAGATGATTTTAGCAGTAGGTTGCTTCAACCTGGACTGTCATTCAGGACCAAACTACGACTGCATATAATCCACATCTCCACAGAAAGACATGGTTACTCAATAAAATACAATCTCCTTTGGGAATTGAACTCATGCCTTTAGCTTGGACGGTGAAAAGCCCTACTGGGTGTGGAGCCACGAAAAGTTCCTGAACAGCCAAGTACAAAAATGCCTCTTCGGGGTTAGAACTACGGTCATCTACACCATAGTCCAGCATGATATCATTAAATGTATCAGTGCCATCTTGGTGCACTTGAACAAAGAAAAAAGAGAGAATAAAATAAAAACGAGAAGTGGAGCAGAGGAAAACGGAGACTTACCTTTACTACAGGATGGTTGATGCTGCTTTCTTTGTAGTTCTCTGGGGTCCCTGATGAAGCATTCTCCTCTATAATGATAAAACAAAAAGAACATTTGAATTAAAGTTTTTAAATAAAGAAAAGCACACCAAGACAACAACAGTCATTTCCTGCAGGGAAAAGGCCAGATAAAATGAGGGGGAAAAAAGTAGGACATACAGTGGCATCCTCTAACCAACTGACATACAGACATACACGTGCACAAGTGAGTACAAGTGTGCACTAGAAACAAAACTCTACCCTGAAAGTAGACCTAAGTGAGATGACTAGAAACTTAGCAGGAACTTAAGATCCTACAAAAGTTGTATCATTATCTATATTTTGGTTATCATAACATGATGATGTTTAGTTCCTTTAGTCCCTGCATAAGCCTCAGAATTCCGCATACAAAACACAACAAGAGTCTGAACTCTACACCTGTCCTATAGATTGACCACTTCCAATACATGTGCCAGATCTCCAGCATTACACATGCAAAATTTCTAAACCTGTGCCCATCCTTCAGATCAATGCTTGTTAACTATTTTGTAGCCAGGGCCCGCTTTTGCCACTTTTAAGAGGCAAACATTTTTCGTTACACCCACATACAAGCATTTCCAAGAGGGGTATTAAATAACACTTATCACTAGCTGGATGATCCCCACCACCCACCAAATTACCAAATCGTCCACTAGTGGGTGATATCACCCAGTTTAGCAGGTACTGTTTTACAGACTGACCAACTCTACATAGATCTAAGAATCCTTAGTCGGTGGGTGCTCTGGTGTAGTTTGCTCTTTCTTTCCTAACAAATATCTATCCTTTTCATCTCTCCTCCTTCTTTTCTTTGGAACTCTCTAGTAACATCTCAAATCTTCGGCACTTATATCATTTATTTGTGTTGCAAATTCTGTAAGATTCCTCCAAAACTAAAGAATCCTTAACATTAAACATGGTTGGATAAATCTCCAAAAAGAGACCAAAATATTTATACTCGGGTCAGAAGTAACATGACTTCATTCTCATTATTATTCTCAAATCCAGTCTTGAAAGTGCACAATTTTTCTTTAGCATCAACACATACATGAACAGCAATACTAGTAAACAGAGAATATTTATTTTCCAACATAAAAATGGACTTTTGTACTCAGATTTCAAACACATATCAAATACCCCTTTTTATATACTGACTGGTTGCTTTGACCATAGAATCACTGACCACCTCCCTCTGGGTCTAAGAGTTGATAGCACTCTCAGTATCTATGTCCAGCCTATGGTCAGTGACCTCACCTCTAATACTGTCCCTGGATGCCTGTGAGGCTGTGTCAGCAGCGTTGATAACTTTGTTCAGAGTGAGGATCCAATCATTGGCCTCTGACTCATTCTCCGCAGCCAGGAGACATGGTGGCCTGTCTGTCATGCGAACCTCAAAGCAATGTTTGCCCTTCTTTGGGTTCTGAAAACGTTAGAAATAATAACATGACTTCTGAGCGTAAAAAATATATACCATAATATAAAGGCATTTTTTCAAATACGGCCACCAATTGCGGAAGAGAAAAGTGGTTGGTAGTTATAATGACTCCCTTCAGACCCAAGTGTCCACTCGTGGCTAAAGTACCAGTTGATAAGCTCACTATCTCATCTATAACTGTAATGGATTACATTGCTTTCCCAAGAAGGGTAAAACTATTGCTTTTTTGTGATCCCTTGAGAAGTGAAAATTATTGCGAAAAATGTTTTAAGCAGGTATGTTTTACATAAATATTTCAAACAGCACAATAGAGCTGTACCCCGGTAGCAAACCCGCTCGTGCTCACAAGCCCCTACTTCAAGTCACAAGCCTCAAATCACTAGGTCAAATCATCAAATCAAATCACTAGCATGAAAAGTTGAGTCTAGCCTAAGCTTCAAGTCCACGGCAACTAGCAATCCGCGAAGCCACTCATATCAGACCCCCTCATCTTCCCCACCCTGCTTGCAATCCACGAAGCCACTTACGTCAGAAAAAGAGAGAGGGGAGAAAGACAGACCCCGCTCACAGTGTCACTGCGCGGTAGAGCTGGAGTCTGCTCGATTAATTGAAGGCTTGCGAGCAGCGGACGGCCGTCAAGTCTCAAATCCCACTCGCTACATAGCAAGACACTTAGGTCCTACAATTTGGTTTGACTGCTGGCAGCACAGCAAGACATTTGCTGTGGAGCGAGCAGCACGACCACTCGCAGTGTGAACTCTGAACCGTGGAGGAAGAGAGAGGCTGAGCTTGTTTTGGTGCAAGACGTAGAGAGCCGAAGCTATTTTTAACTTCGCACCCTTGATCAGCTGAACGAGTGGATAAAGTGAGAGAAATCGTGGTATTGTAGTAACAACATTGCTGGGTCTCTGGTAGTAATAAGTAGACTTAGATTACCTTAGAATGGAAAACTCCAGGGGTCGTTGTGATTGGCTTTTGTATCGTATGTATGTAGCCTATTTAGTAGATGTTCTACACTCCCAATGACATAATACAAAACATTTAGGAGACGGGCTAGGCCTACTTCAACCCAATGTCAGAGCCAACCTGGGCAGAGAGGGAACAACGCCCCAGCAGAAAGACAGAGGTTCTCAGTAAACCTTTCTCCCCATACAGGAATCGAACTGAGGTCTTTTGTGTGCGACGACGAAGCACTTGGCCAGTGCATTTTTTTTTTTTAAAAGGCTTTTGCATCATAAGAACAGCTGATCCATTATTAATTTTTAAGTGCATTGAATAGAGCTTTTTCTTTTTTACAACCCCACTATGGTAAAAAAACAATCTTGCACTTTTGGTGCAAGCCTCTCAACGCTAATAACCAGAATCTTCTGTAATATGTACCGAGCCCACAGCCATGAGAGTTCGCGACGTCACGACACTGTACAGCAAGACTGTCCGCGAGTCACAACACACCGGAAATTCCCCCCCGGGAGGCAAAGCAAAGCACAAGCCTGCTTGCAAGCCTCTGGCGCAAGCCGTCTGCTGCTCGCAAGCCTTCGATTAATCGAGCAGACTCCAGCTCTACAGCACAATTACAAAATAGAACTTGGAACTTTAGACAATGAATGTTATATTTGAGAGTATGTTTTAAGATGAAGACATTATACTAAAGTTTTGTGGTATGTAAAGAATCGAGACATTATGTAAAGACCTAAAAAAAATACATAACATGCTCAAAAGATGTAAAATAATGCAAACCTGATTTATGGAAGTAAAGAACACAAAATGATTTTGGCATGTTCCAAAAACCCATATGCCAAAAGGATGTAAAAAAAACCAACCCAACATGTCTTGAAGAAGTATAAAAAAGTAAAACAACCTGTGATATTCTTCAAACTTCAAGCTACAGGGTGCTATGCTGTGTTTGATAAAAGTTTACAAAGCTAGGTCAATTTGAGGAAAGGGGAAAAAAACATACTTTTCTCGTATGACATCATACACTGACAAATGGAAAATGGATGTGAAGTATCCATGCCCATCTGATCATTCTGACCATCTGTTGAAACATCAGGGCTCTTACCTTGACCACCTCCTGGGCTAAGTCCATAAAGATAGCTCCTTTACAGTCAGACTTTTTGTCGTCTTTAAACATCTCCAGGATGTAGGAGTAGTCCGACTGTTGCTTCAGGAAGAAGAACCGACGCTTGAATTGCTGCAAAACAGAACAAGGGACTTCCGTTGCTTTTTGAAGATTTATGGTGTGGAGGTTCCATTCCTATAGCAATTTTTTGTTTTTTTGGGGTTTTTTTGTAAGATTCAAGGTATAATCGTACATTCCGGAGGTTGTGTGATTGGTCAACATATGATGAGATTGCTAGTTTTCCAAATATCTCACAAAAAAAACACAAAAATCTTGAATTTCATGTACTGTCGAACCTGATCTAACAATCACTTATTTAAGGTCATCCTGTACAAATGACCACTTCCCACTTATCCTGTATGCTTTTTTTTTGGTATTATAATAACATTGTCCAAGACTCCCCTTAATTACAAAAAAAACAACTCTTTTCTCCCTGACAATTTTGACTGTAGTTCAAACATAAATCATGTAGAGGGCTGAGCATACCCGTGTGAAGCTGATGATGTTGTCCTTGCCACTGTCCGGCCCCTTGAACAGCCAACCACGTTTGGTGATGGTGGACACAAAGCCACGGCTCAGTGTGTCCTGGGGATAGGGAAATGTTATGTTTTTAGTGTTAGCAAGAGTTTTACGGCACTTTCAACACAAATAGAATGTATAAATGTCAAAGATTAAAGGCTTTACTAGAGAGTAACATCAGAATAAAAAGATGAAGAGAGATAAGAATGATATATATCTGATAGGAGGAAAGGAAGAAGCAAACCACACCTGACACCAGAGCACCCGTCAACCATCCACAGGAGTTTGGGCTTGGTCTGAGGTCAAAGGAAACCCACAAACAAAAGAACGGTTATTTTGTGCTCAGAAAAAGTGTGACAGACGAACAGAAACAATCAAAAGGTTACAAAGAAGTAGGATTTACTGGTGGTACCCTCCAGTCTCTTTACTAAAGAAGTCTCCATTTTACACCACCCTCAAAAAGACTTGACTCTCAAATGAACCCTTTGCCTCAAACGATAAAAAAAATTTGCTCTATAAGTTACTTTCATTCTGAGCTAGGTGCAGATGACCATAGTTCAAATCTTTAATAGGAAGATTTCATCTGAAGCTCCACCAATGTGGGTAAGTCCTATATGTAACAGGCGTTACATTTGTTTTTAGTTTTAGTTTAGTTTTAGTAAGAATTCTACAGCACTGGCAACACAAAAGATTAAATCAGTGCCAAAGATTACAGGTGTTACTGAAGGGTAAAAGGGAAAAAAAAAGTGGAGAGATAAGGACGATAGACTTTTGCTTTTACACAAATAGGTCAAATAAGTGCCAAAGATTGGAGGTGCTACTTAATAGTAACATTTTTTTTTTTTTAAGATAAAGAGATAAGGACAATAAACTTTTGATTCTTTAAAAAGGAGCAGACCATACCAGAGCACCTGCCAATCACCCACAATAAATTCCATGGTCCTATTTTTTAGAAAAATCTAACAGTATTGAAAGAGGCATCAAATCCACACAATTCATAATAGCATGACATCGGCAAGGATAAATATAAGTTATCTTTTCTATTCTTTTCTTTCCATTCTCTGCTCCCTCAGTACTCACATCATCTTTCTCTTCCACCTCAGCATCAATTTCAAAGATATGCTCTTGTAAAGGTTCCTTCTTGGAAACACTGCAAAAAGAAAACAATAAAGATAGACTTTCAAATTTTTCTCAAATAAGAGAAAGAAAAGAAAACAACATAATGCACATTTTTTAAAACTCAAAAGACAACGCTTGGCACTTTTTAAAAAAAGAACATGCTATACAAAAAAGAAATTATGATGATTATTATTTTTATAATTAAGATAATCATCAGAGCTCAGTTAAAGAAAAGTGAAGAACATTGAAAAAATGACTGTCACTGAATTAAGGGGAAAAGCAAGTACAAAAAACAACACTATTGTTAAGTTAAAGTAGAAGAGAAGCACATAGACATGATAACAGTTATCATTTAAAACAGAGAAAATGCAAAATGTTTCAAGTCATTTTGAGAACCATAACTCTGACCGTGATTCAAGTATTCGCAAAATAAATTACAAAACATAAAAGGAAATGGAAACAGTACATATAGATACCCTAAATCAGGGACACACTAATAAATTATCTCCATATTTTTTTTAGCTCATTTCAATCTCTATTTTCTACAAATTTCGGAAAAGGACAGCATACAAAAACTGAAATATATCTGATCATATTAATGATAATGCAGATTATGTACATTCATTAGTAGGCCTATATCTATTTATCTTAATGTTTGCAAATTTTTATGCATTTATATCTGTGTTTCGTATAAAACAAATGGGGAATAATAACTTTTTCAAAAACATCACCTAAAATGCACAAAAAGGAGAATGAAATGTTTACAACAAAAAATAGTGCTATCTGTCAGGGTGCTTTCTGGCACGACCTACTTTGGCAGCTGCTGATAGCTCCCAGCATAAGGCTGGTATTTGAACTTGACCGTCTGCAGGGGACTGGTGTAAGTCTTCAGACATTCCTTGACCATCAAGCTGGACACTTCCTGGTCGGTGCTGGCAGGGACAGTCGAGACAGACGTCCTCATTCTCCGAGGAGGGGCGGGGGGCTGCGCGAAGAATAAATAAAGATGAAAAATATTTCACGCCACCATCACAATGTGGTTCACACAGGAGGCCAGCTGCTTTGACCCTGCCTGTGGAGATAACTTTTAATCAGCATCGACAAGTCTGTGAGGAGAAAAGCCAGAAAAACAGAGAATACGTATTTTCTGACACAAAAATACTTACGTACTCAGACATCAAAAAAATAATTTCAATATTATGTTTTTTACTTATTGGTTGGCTATGAAAACTATACGAAGACAACTCAAGACTGTGCCTTGCAAAACTTTAAAAATGAGGAGATACAGCCTTTTCTACTGCTGCTCCCTCAGTGTGGAACTCCCTCACACTGCATCTAAGAAAGGGGCCCACTTTGACCGCATTTAAATCTGGTCTGAAAACACATTTATTAAAATTCCATTTAACTAACTGGTTTGGTGCTTCTTCCAGCAACAAGTGTGATCAGCAGCACACAGTGATTGTCTTTTTACATATGTGTTCTTTGTGAGACTGCAAGTGTATATTCTTATGTATTTGAAAGAATTGTTGTACATTTAAAGGGCCAGTGTGTGTGAAACATTGATTTTGAATCATATTTTTTTGTAAAGTGGGCGCTATAGAAGTGATCTTTATCAACATTATTATAACTAAGTACTCACCGGCACCAGCACATCGTCGTGTGGGAAGTTAAGCATCTCCAGCTGAGGGTCATTGTGCAGCAGCACCTTGTTCTTGACCACAAACGTCTCATAGTCCACAGGCTCCACAAGCTTTGGCCGGGACTGGGGAAGATGGACAGAGGGAAAAGGAAAAAAAAGTTTTTAAACATCGAAGAAGTCTTGGCTTCATGGGGAAAGGGGTAGACTTGGTTTGTTTGGCGCAATGTTTTGTGACTTTGTTAGTTTCAATGGGTGGGTTTTTTTGTTTGTTTTTTTGGGTTTTTTTGTGTTT